CTGAGTCACAGCCTCTCTGAGGAGGGAAGTTCCAGGTAAGTGAGCGGACTGGGATTCGTGCTCCCAGCCTGGGCAGCGACGTGTGGCCTGTGAGCCCCTCCCTTAGAGTTATCCGATGCCTGGGTTCCTAGGAGTTCAAGAAACTGAACACATGACTCCTCAGCCCAGGAAAGGCAGAATGTGTGGCAGGGATGGAATAGACCATGCAAAAGGGGAAAGCCGATCTGAGCGAGGGCAGTTAGTGGGCACCGGGATTTAGGTCTTCCTGGCCGTGCTGTATGCCAAGGCAGTCTCACCACGTGTGATAAAGGAGTATCGGCCAAAAAGCTGCGGAGATGAGAAGGAAATCTAGTCAGAAAGACTCCACGGCCTGAGCCTCGGCCTGCTTTAGTGTGACAAGTAGAGCGTGTCCCCAGCACTCAGAGTGAAACTGGTTTAGAGTGACAATGTTTCAATCAACTGAGCCAGGAGCTCGGTGGTGAGGCTGGATTGAGGATGGGAGGCAGCTCCAATCTTCCCGGGTTACTTAATTTAAATTTGAATCAGCTTCCTTCTAGGAAATTTAGTCTATTTGTTGCTTCTGATGGGCCCACCCAGAGGGACAGGTATTCACAGAAGTTGACTGGCTTTTTCCTGAATGCCAGTCCTCACTGTAGGAAGTGCTCCCTGGACACAGGGACTAGAAAACCATATCCTTCCCACAGAGACTTGCAATCAGAGGGAGAGTCAGACAGGCAAACAACAAACTAGAATGCACACGTCTAACCCAGGGAGGACTGGTGAAAGCTTCCTTCTCATCCCACTTCGACCATAAAACTCTTCTTCCTCTTCCTCTCTGGAAAAAACTATGGCCTTGGGACGCCTGGGTGGCTCAGTGTTTGAGCATCTGCCTTTGGCTCAGGTCATAATCCCGGGGTCTTGGGATGGAGTCCCTGATTGGGCTCCCCTCAGGGAGCCTGCTTCTCCCGCTGCCTATGTCTCTGCTTCTGTGTCTCTCATAAATAAATAAAATCTGAAGAAAAACACACACACACACACACACACAAAACAACTGTGGCCTTAAGGTCGGTATTTCACATAAGGATCATTGCTGGGGCAGCCTTTCCAACAGCCTCCCTTTCCAGAAGTTTTCTACTCAAATCCACCATATTCTGGGCACTCAGCATTCCAAAAGCCTGTGTGCCAGGCACCCTGCGGGCACCAATGATATAGACACAAGAAACCTGACTCCAGTGTCATAGGCTGGGGGTGGGGGGAGGATGTAGCATGGGGCAAAGGGTTTTGAGGAGCATCTGGTAAACAGATCATCACTATCACTGAACGAAGGTAACTCTTAGGAGAGTCTGCAGCAGCAGGAAGGGCACCAAGGATGTGTCTGTGCTGATGTCCAGAGGAAGACAAAGAAGTTTCTTAAACCAATTTCTTGCTGAGGAAGTGGAGAACCCCAGACTTACAAGTCTTTTTGTTTTATTTTTTTAGATTTAAGTACAATCTGCCTCCCAACATGGGGCCCCAACTCACAACCCCAAGATCAAAATTCACATACTCTACCGACTGAGCCAGCCAGGTGACTGGGCCAACCTGGTATTCCTCAACCTGCAAGTCTTAATAGAGTGTGCCATCTTCTGGCCTGGGTCCTGCCTACCTCCCAGCCTGTGTGTGTCTGAGGGCCAGGCTCTCTTATGGTATCACACACTTGTGACTGGAAAAGAGAACCACTCCTGTACCCCTTAGAGGTGCTGGTTGGAGAATCATAAAAGCGCTCTTCTGGGCAGCCCGGGTGGCTCAGTGGTTTCGCGCCTTCAGCCCAGGGCATGATCCTAGAGACCCTGGATTGAGTCCCACGTCCGGCTCCCTGCATGGAGTCTGCTTCTCCCTTTGCCTCTCTCTCTCTCTCTCTCTCTCTCTCTCTTTCTCTCTCTGTGTGTGTGTCTCTCATGAATAAATAAATAAAATATTTTAAAAAAAACGCTCTTCTACTTGATGATGAGTAATGTTGGGGAAAGGTGAATTTTAAGGCTTCTCTCATGGGTAGAGGATTCTAATAAAATCCCACTTTTTTAAAAAAGTTTTTTTTAAAGATTTCATTTATTTATTCATGAGAGACACACACACAGAGGAGAGAGAGAGAAAGAGAGAGAGAGAGGCAGAGACACAGGCAGAGGGAGAAGCAGGCTCCATACAAGGAGCCCGATTGGGACTGGATCCTGGGTCTCCAGGATCACACCCTAGGCTGCAGGCGGCGCTAAACCGCTGCGCCACCGGGGCTGCCCAAAATCCCACTTTTTTTTTTTTTTAAAAATGCAGTTAGAGTCAAGATTTGCACAAAATTGAGGATGAGAGGAGTCTGAAGCTGTTCTGTATAATGACGTGAAGAAGCACTCCCAATGCAATTATGTTGCTTTTGGAGACATATTTCCCCACCCCAATAAGGTCGTCAACTGTATGTATTGTCTAAAACTAATGAATCTTTCTAACAGGTGTGTGTGTGCACACACAAGCATGGGAGTGTGTCTCAGTATTTATCAGCTGGACAGCCAGAGCAAATACCTCACACTAGGGGGCAAGTCTAGAAGAGAGGGGACTTGGAACACCAGCACCCACCCAAAGCTATTGTGCTGAAGCCCCTTTGTGGTGTGAGGCTAGAGTGACTAATTCAAATGTAAGGGAATAGACTGTTGGGGATTATTGCATCCCTTGGTTGGGGGAGGGGGTGAATGCTCCATCGAGATCAAGCTCTGTGGTAATAGGTGGGACTTCTCTAAAAAGGAGAAGAGGTTCTATGCTCTGAGAAGGCAATTTCTTGGGGATGGGGTGGTATGTTTAGGTCTGGATATCAAGGAAAGAAACTGGAAAAGAAGGGGCTGACAGCTTTTAAAGGTATTTTGGTTTGTTTTGTTTGTTTTTTTAATGCTTACCTCTTGAACCGTAAGGAGAGCCTTACGAAGTTTCCCATTTTACAAATATATTTTTCATTTCTATTACAGTCACATTAAGTTCCGCAACCCTTCAGCAGGGTGCACTCAGTCTCGTGGTGCTGGTGTGGGAAATGAGAAAATGGAAATCTGGCTGATCTGTGTTTGCACGTCAACTAGACTAACAACTAGTCAGTGGAACAGCATCTGGCCAGCCCACTGAGGTCCAAGATGCAGGAAATTCTGTTGTGTGGTAGTAAAGGAGAAGAGGTTTATGGTATACCTGTGAGCTGAGGGAAGGAACTTGTGAGCCAGGGGGGCTTCTGCCGAATGGACAATTCCTGTAAGGTACGGCATCTCCTTTTGAATTTATACTAAAGGTAAGTGACTTACGAAGTAGAGCACGCTGATGCTTGGATTATAGATTAAATGCAATCTTTGCATCAGAGATGCCCTTGTTCCCACTGTGGTCCAGGGAACTCATAGTCTCGTTAGGCATACAGGGAATCCTGTATACCTGACCACTGATTATAGCTTTTTCAAAAGAACCTATAGCCCTGTCTAATCAGATCCTTTACTTTTTGAGGCTCAAATCCTCTGAGGAATCTCCGGGTACATGGTCATTGTGTCACTTGTCTCTTCAGACTAATAAGCTTCATTTTTTATTTTGAAAAATTTTCAGCTCTAGAATGCAAAATTTACTAGTCTTCTAAGGAAGGCAGCTGTGACCCGTATCTTACTCCTCAAGGGAGTATCCCAATTTATGAAGGTCTAACAAAACATACTTACTTCTCAATTAATTCTGCATAGAGCTGTCCAATCATTTTCTGTTCTCAGTGGAAAATGCTGATCTTACCCTTCCAACCCCAATCCCCCGTATAAGGTTGAAATTGAGCCCACGACAGTTCTTAAAATCTGCTAATGCCAGGAGCCTACCTGAAATTCTCCACTGTCAGCCCGAGAAACAGACTCTCCACACAGATTTCGTGCACCTGCTGTGCTGACTCCCATCTGCCTTCTTGGAGTTTTAAGGAACAGACTTCCGGTGGTCCTTGCCATTTAACTCAACTTTCTTGTTTTTCAGACACAGCTGATTCTAAAACGTTCAAGCATTAAAAAAATCTTTATTCTTGGCATGTCCTGGTGGCTCAGTGGTTGAGCATCTGCCTTCAGCTCTAGGTGTGATCCAAGGGTACTGGGATCAAGTCCTACATGGAGCCTGCTTCTCCCTCTGCCTATGTCTCTGCCTCTCTCTGTGTGTCTGTCATGAATAAATAAATAAAATCTTTTTTTAAAAAAAATCTTATTCTTAGCGAGTGCAGTTAGGATTTGCTTAGAAAATACACTCTTCTGGTGACTTAATGTGTATTCAAACATAACATACATAATTTAAAATTTGTAAGCTTGGTTTGCATCACTGATTCTTTGACTTATACTATACCAACATAGGAGCTTGGGAGCCAGACTCTTGGAATAGCTGAAAACTCAGCTTTCAAAAACATCCAAGTCGGCTTGGAACCTCCAGTTTGCCCAAAGCCTCAGCACCTCATGTTCTTTCCCTCCCAATTCCCTCAGACATTCCTTGCCTTCTCTCTGAGAGCATTTGAGTTTGCCACTCTGAATTTTCTATAGTTGAGAAAAATAGACTGAAAAGAGAGGAAACAACATGTCTGGCACAATGTCCTCTCACTACAATATTCTTCCTTTTACGCATACTTTGTACTACCGCGCAAATCAACATTTGCTGCTAAAGAGAAATGGATAATTTACGATTCCCCTAGAGTTTCTGAAAGGAGAGCTGTTTGGGAACGGCAACAATTTCTTGTCTGTGACGTGTGTCCCTGCAGGTAGAATTTCACCCACTCAACCCCCAGTCTGGTCCACTTCAAACGGACCACAGATACCACGGGACGCGAAGACGCGGTCCAGGCCAGGAACCTCTTTTTTTCTAGCTCACGTTTCTACCCGAGCCGTCAGGGAAACGGACCGGAAGTGTGCGAGGCCTGCGGTCCGAACTACCTACGTATCCCGCGGTTGCTCTGGAGCCGGAAGAGGAAGGTGCACCGCGTAGAAGGCTTCCCTCCTAGTTCCGGTTTCTCCACCGTTGCTCTTGCAGGCGTAGGACCGGGTGCCCGGGGGCTTCTGCGGCTCTGGGTTGTGAGATGCCGGGTGGAGGCCGCTGCCCCGACTGCGGGTCCGCTGAGCTCGTGGACGACGCGCACTACTCGCAGAGCCAGCTGGTGTGCTCAGACTGTGGCTGCGTGGTCACCGAGGGAGTCCTTACGACCACCTTCAGCGACGAAGGCAACCTCCGAGGTACCCAGGGCTGTGGGTGTGCGGGCCGCGGCGGTGGAGGGGCTGTCGTCAGATTCCGGCCTGCGGGAGGGCGGAGGCTGCCGTTCGTCTGTTTTTCTAGCACCTGGTGCGACATCTGCCATGTGTTAGGTATTATATATATTATATATCCATATGCCTAATACATTTATGTATTAGGTGTAACACGTATAAATGCTGGGTATAGTAAGCGTTGACCAAATGAAACAGAAACAAAGTACACTCAGTTTACCTAGTCTGGATATGACGGAAGGGTTATGTGTCAGTTCTTTACAAATACAGACAAGACCATTATCCCGAAATAGTTTTTAGCACTAATTGGCAAAAACACCCCCCCCCTCCTTTTTTTTCTTTGTTTTCCGAGTGCCTGACCAGTTCAGCCCTCAAAATCATGACTCAGGAAAATTGCCGGGATTGGATACACAGGAGGGAGGGCTGAGAATTTGGAGCACCCGAGGCCACTTTAGTGCAATGGTGCCCTTCCTCGGTCTCTGTATTTGATACTGCTTGTGGGCATAGAAAACCAGATGGACTCTTAACGTGCAAAGTGGGGCACCTTCTGTGAGATAAGGAATGGAGCCTAATGATAGGAATTCTCCCCAGTTTTGTGTGGCGGGTGGCCAGGAGTTTGGTGAATAAAGGTTGAGCAAGCTGTTTGTTGTGCGTTGCCTTACAGAAGTAACCTATTCCCGAAGCACAGGGGAAAACGAACAAGTCAGTCGCAGCCAGCAACGAGGTGAGAATCAACCTTTTATGATACAGAAAATTCTCTGGAAGGTCCAGCCCATCCTCTTGCTTTTCCTGTTTTCACTATTACTGTGTACAGTAGAGCCTAAAAGAGTGGCAGTTGGAAATAAAGAATGGAGGTGGTTCTGAGAGAGTCTATGGTTCTGATTCTGTATACAGGTTGGGTGTGTCAGGGCTGTGTGAGATGTAGACTCCAACATCCCAGATCACACTCCCGCGTGGCTCTGAATCAGACTGACCTCCAAAGAATGGTGGGTTGAAATGTAACTTCTTTGCACAGATTTCTTTGTGCCTTTAGAATGACCTCACCAAACGTCACTCTTGTCATTTTAGAGTTACATTATTTGTGCATCTGGTGTTGGAGGCAAGTTTAGCAGGAATTGCTAGGAGCTGCACAGTAGTGCCTTTGACTTTGACACCCCGCTCCCCCCCCCCAACTCTTGCTGTGGGCTTTCTTAGGTCTCCGCAGAGTGAGAGACCTCTGTCGAGTTCTGCAGCTGCCATCAACCTTTGAGGACACAGCAGTTGCCTACTACCAGCAAGCGTACCGGCACTCTGGCATCCGTGCTGCCAGGCTGCAAAAGAAGGAAGTGTTGGTTGGCTGCTGTGTTTTAATTACCTGCCGACAGCATAACTGGCCCCTCACCATGGGAACCATCTGCGCCCTGCTGTATGCAGATTTGGAAGTGTTTTCTGGCACCTACATGCAGATAGTGAAGCTCCTGGGGCTGGATGTGCCATCCCTCTGCTTGGCGGACCTGGTGAAGACTTACTGCAGCAGGTAAGCTGCCCACTGGCAAACTCTGGGACAGGCTGGCTCCTTAGACCCCAGTCTTTGAGCTTTGCTGTCTCTTTTTCACCAAAGCCCATTTAAAGGGATTTGGGAGAAAAATGTAGTCTCCCTCTCTTGTGCCCAGTACTAATAAGGTTAATCCCATTTTACATTTCTAGACTGCTGTCATTTCCAAATCCCTTTGCCCTCACTGCAACCTAATGACATAGGCAAAGTAGGTGTCAGCCTTGGCAGAGGGCCACTGAGTTGTGGCTCTTGTGTTGTGCATAGCCCGCTTGGCTGTGTGCACCAGCCCTGCCTCAGCAGGATCATCTGTGAATGGAGGCAACAGGATGTTAGTCATGGGGCTGGAAGCAGAAACTAATGTCTTTTTTTTAAGTAGCTGTGGTGTTTTCTTCCTTCTGAAAAATACAGTATAAAGCAAAGGTTACCAAGTGTTAAGTGGCTTTGGGTTTGCATGGTTACTTCTTAGCTGGATGAATATGGGCCAGTTTTTTTAAACTATATGTATTTTTAGTGGGGTGTAGAGTAGATGACAGAAGAACATTTGTAAAGCGCTCAGAATGATGGCAGGCGGAGGTGCTGACAAACGTGAGCTTTCTTGTGCATTTTCCTGTACAAGTAGAAGACTCAGCCTGTCTTCTCTCTGCACCTCTATGAACTCCGTACCTGGCCAGCGAACTTGAGCATTCCAAGAGGAGAGGAGAGCTTGCCCATTGTGAGTGTACTGCTTTTCCTCGCTTTGGAAGAGCAGCCCTGCCCTCTCCCCTGTAGGCATGGAGACCAGACTCTCATTTTCTTTTTTCAGCTTCAAACTGTTCCAAGCTTCCCCGTCTGTTCCAGCCAAATATGTGGAGGACAAAGAGAAGATGCTGTCGCGAACATTGCAGTTGGTGGAGCTGGCAGATGAGACATGGTTGGTGACCGGGCGGCACCCCTTGCCTGTCATCACTGCTGCTACCTTCCTGGCTTGGCAGTCGCTACAGCCTTCGGAGCGTCTGACCTGTTCACTTGCCCGATTTTGTAAATTGGCAAATGTGGACCTGCCCTGCCCTGCTTCCTCCCGCCTGCAGGAGCTGCTGGCTGTGCTGCTGCGGATGGCCGAGCAGCTAGCCTGGCTGCAGGTTCTGAGGCTTGACAAACGGTCTGTGGTGAAGCACATTGGCGACCTTCTCCAGCACCGGCACACGTTGGTTCGCAAGGCCTTTCGAGACGGAACAGCAGAGTTGGAAGCTGGGGAGAAGGAGCAGCAGGGTTGGAGCGAGAGCCCAGGGCAGGGAAAAGAGGAGGCAGCGACGAGTTCCTTAGATCGGCCCGAGGGCAAGAGACCAGCTAGTCCTGCCCTTCTTCTCCCACCTTGCATGTTGAAGCCCCCGAAGCGGATCTGTCCCCCACCCCCTATCTCCACAGTCACCGGAGATGAGGACATTTCTGATAGTGAAATAGAGCAGTATCTGCGTACCCCTCAGGAAGTTAGGGACTTTCAGAAAGCTCAGGCTGCAAGACAGGCTGCCATAGGGGTATCAAACCCTCCCTGATGTGCATCCAGGGGAGTACTCACACCATTCCAGCAGCAGCTTGACAATAGACCTATCACATCTGGAGAAGTGAGTGTATGTGAGTCCTGAGGTATTTATTTTTTCTTATTTAAAGGAACCATGGGACTCTGTGCAGTTAATTGGACCCTGGGTCCTGGAGTAGTAGCTGGGAGCAGTGCAGGGACAGTGGATTTGGAGAGAATCCCATCTGTTGGTGCCAGGGAGGAAGGTGCATATGTTCATACTACGAGGGATGGCTTTCCTCCTAGACAGGTTGGAGGGTGCCAGGCTTTCTCCTGGTTTGTATTGGATACACTGCTGCTGCAGGCCTGCCAGGCCCTCCCTGCTCATGTGGAGTGGTTGGTGTTTTGAAAGCTATTAGCCCTCAGAGGACAGGAACTGGGCGGCTCCTGGCCCTGTGTCAATTGTAGATTGACGGGTTCTTGTGTATGGGGTTGGGGGTTTTAAAATCCTCTACCTCACAACAAAAGGACCGTGGGTGGACTAAAGTTATATAGCTCAAAGGGCTTTGCAAAATTTTAATATATTAAAACAAGAGGCATCTGCTAAAAAACATTCTATTGTATAAAACCCGAGCTTTTAAAAACACGTTTTCTTTGGCACTTTTCATCCCCTCCCTCCCTTTTCCCCAGCGTATTGCAGAAAGCTCTCCAGTGCTAAGGCATGGGCAGGGTATGTAAACAGCAGCCAGCATATGTGGAAGAATAATACGAAGCTTTTTTTTTTTTTTGGGTCTAATATTGTCTGTGCAGCAAGCATAAATAACAGGATTCATCCCAAGGTGTGTGGGTTTTCTCCCCTCCCTTATGTCTTTCGCCTTGGTGATCAGATGGCGGCGACATGGACACTGGGAGGGGACCTGGACCAGGTCTGGTTTTCCCTGTTGCTCTTCACCAGGCTCGGCTTTCCCTCCACTTTTCATTGGGTCCTGTAGTAAAAGGCTGGTGGTTGCTTTGTAGGTGCTGGTGTTCAAAAGGAGTGAAGGCACAGCCCCCATGTGAGCTGCAGGGACCCTACCTGCTGCCTTGTGGGGGGGGGAGGGGGTTCAGCTTGGGCTTCTGTGAGGCAGGAACCTGGACTGATGTTTGGAAGGTTTGTCCCTAGTAACCGAGCTAGACATCAGATTCTTGGAATGGTTCTTCCTTATGGCCTCCTGGAGGCAGGGAAGGGCCCTTCCTGAGTCCCTTGGTGTCAGAAGGCTGAGACTGGGGAGATGGGTCTTGTAACTGAACAGGAAGTGCTTCTCCAGGACCACCTGCAGCCTTGTGATGGAGCCTCCCTTCAAAGCACTGTGTATAGGGCACCATTGCCTTCACTCCAGATCTAAGCACTACTCTCCACTTGCCTCCGATCTTTCCTGAGGTACCACCTCCAAAGCCCTGCGGTGTGGTTTGTGTACCACTCCTGTGGGACACGCCTGTCCCTGACTGGGCACCCTTTCCACGTGCACCCCCCATTCCTTAGAACTCCAGGGCTGCCTTCCACACTGTTCCACCTTCTCTTGCATAGTTTATCTTAAGAGCAGCACCTATGGGTCCTGGTCACTTGGCTCATCTGCTAGGCTGGCCCCTAGTTGGCCAAAAGCTGGGTGGGGGAGAGGCCCTAGGATCTAGGCACAGATGGCCATGGCTGACTTTAGAGGAGGGCAGTGAGGAGAGAACAGGGTTCTCAAGCTCCCATCGTCTGTGTGTTCCTGATAAGGCTGATGACCACCAGCCAGACAGGGTGGAGACGTGGGGAGTACCTATGGAGGAGCCCACCTGGGGCATGCGCCATTGCCCGCCTCCCACGGGCCTCCCGTGGGCCTACAGGACCTTCCCCCACTACCCTGGACGGCACCGATACGACTGGCAAAACTAGCCTGGGCTGGGACGGAAATGTGTACTGCTTGCGGTCCTGGGGTGGTCGCCAGCCCAGAGTGACGCCTCTCTTGGCAGCGGCGGGCCTTGGGCCTGGCCTCCTCCTCCCCCCACCCCCCACCCCGACTCCAGGACCGAAGCTGGTGTGCCAGGCGGGCGACAGCCCCGGGGCCCCTCTACCTCCAACCTGCCGATGTACCGGTAGACGTCTCCGAAGGCCCCGGAGAAGCCCGGCGGACCGGGTCGCGGGGCCTGCGCGTCCCGCAGCGTCACCCGCCCGCTGCCCCCCGCCCTAGACGGTGGTCTCGCTCTTCCAGAGGCCCGTCTTCATGCAGGCGCCCCCCGCCGCGTCCGCCCCGCTCACGTCGTCGTACTTGGCTCCCTTGGGCGCGCCGTTCAGACTGGCTGCGTTGAGGGGGTACGAGCGCCGCTTGCTGTCCCGCTCGGGTGCTCCGCCCCCGCCGCCCCTGAGGTTGTCGCGGCTGGCGCTGCGGCGCTGGCCCTGCCGGCTGGCCTCGGGGGGTGGCGCGGCGCTCGTGTCGCTGCCCTCGGACGGCGTGAGCATGGGCTCGCCCTCCAGCTGGAGGCCCGGGCTGTTGCGGCTGCTGCCCGGGTAGCTGTCGGACGGGCTGTTGTGCAGGCTGCCGCTCTCACTGGACGGCAGCTCGGGCGCCCCGGCGGCTGCCCCCCCGCGCAGCGCCTTGAGCCGGTTCTTGGCGCCGGCCTCCCCCGCGCGGTGCGCCTTGGCCCGACTCTTGTGCGCCCGGCGCCCGTGGTGCAAGTTGTTGGGGTGGCGGGGGGCAAGGCTGCCCCGGGAGCCCGTGGGCTCCGGCTCCCCTTCCCCGCGGGCCGCCGTCCCCGCCTCGCACACCTGACTCTGCGCCAGCTGCAGGTTGGTGAGCTTGCAGGGGCCCAGGGGCGGCGCGTGGCTGCTGCTGCCGCTCGGGGAGGACTTGAGGGACGGGGGTCCCTCTCCGAACACGGGGGAGCCGTCCTCTGGGGCGGCGGGCACGGCCCGCGGGGAGGCGCGGGAGGCCGAGGCCTGGGGGCAGCAGGCGCGCCAGGAGGCCCTGACGTCCCGGCGCCTGGCACAGTGGTGGGTGAAGACGAAGAGTCCCAGGGCGGAGGCCGCCGCCCCGTACAGGCAGCTGCACACCACCCGGGGCAGCCAGCGCTGGGACACGGCCAGGGCCCCACAGGCCCACATGGCCAGATACAGGAAATGCGTGGTCACCAGCGCCCCCAGTTGGACTCCCGGAGAATAGAAGCCGTCACCATCCTCCGGGGGCCCGGGTGTCACCACCCCCGCGCTCCCAGTAGCCAGAAGGGAACCTGAGTCGTTCAGGAGGGGGCCGCTGCTCCTGAGCCTGCTGGAACCCCTCAGCTCCTCCCCTGGCTCCAGGGAGACCCTGCTGGTGCCCCCCTTTGGGCTCTGCACCAGAGGACCCCTTAGGCGCAGCCCTGCACACAGGAAATAGATCCAGGTGATCAGCAGAATCAAAGCCACGGGGATGTAGAAGGCTCCTAGGCTTGGGCGCCACACCAGCCAGCAGCTGAGGGGAGACACAGGCAGTGGATGAGGGGTGGGAGAAACACATCTGAGGTAGCTGGGTGGTCGGGGAGACAGGACATGGTGAGTGAAAAAGCAGAAACTGGCTTAGGCAGCATGCATGGGTTTGGGTGAGGTCCCTGGCTGGGTGGGCCTGGCAGGTGCCCCTAAGAGTGCAGTTGGAAGGCATCCAGTGTCAGGGCAGGTGGGTTTGGGGTGGGCAGGCAGGCAGCGGCTCACTAGGGGCTGTGATCCCGGTAGTTGTGGATGTTGACAGCAGCTGTGATGCCACAAATAATGAGTGGGATCCCTCCGGCAATCAGATAGAACCTGGAGAGGAGTGGGGTTTGGGGGTCAGGGAGTTGGGGAACTAAGGGAGTTGGAACCAGATGCTCAAAGACCTTGACTCCGGGTCTCTGTCCCATCCTCATTCCCATTTAAATTCTGTCAGAATTTTTTGTCAGGAATGCAAGGCCCCTACAGGGCAGGCTCAGTAGGTTCCTAGGGGACTTGGCCACAACTGTCCTAGGGGACAGAGGCCAGAATTGCTCTCTCACCTGAAACGGTACTGAAGTCAGGGTACCACTCAGGTTCCCAGGATCCCTGCCCAAAGCCACTGGAGTCACTTCCTTCCCTGGGCTTGTCATCCCTGAAAAGCCCTAAGGATGGTTCCATGGTCTTGGGCAACCTGGAGCCACCTGGGGCCTTGCCTCTTCTCTCTTTGGACAGTTCTCTGCCAGGACCTTGGACCTGGCCTGCCTCCACCCTGGGAGAACAGATTTTGGTGTCCTACACCCGCCTCCGACCCCTTCACCCTTGCAAAGCTGACAGTCAGAAGCACGTACCGGAGCATGGGTCGGGGTGCTGGTGGGGCAGAGTCCCCTTCTTGTGGAGGGGGTGCTCTCCAGGTGAGCTCCTTGTGGAGGACGCGGGCCTTCACACCCATCCAGAGCAGTGTGGACAAGGAAGAGTAGTGCAGAGTGATGCCCACCTGCGGGGTCAAGCCACGGGGTGGGGGATTGGGGGCAAGGGGGAGACCACGCTGCTACTAGAACTGCCTCAGGGCCTCAGTCCAAATATTTTCCCACCTCTCCTATGGACCCACCCCCAGGTCTAACCAGATCCCCCTCAAGGTTCTGGCCCTGCTGTCACCCTCTCTCCTTCCACACCCTGCTTCTCTCCTGCTCTGGAGACTTCTCCCTACCCTGCCTTCGCTGTCTGGCTAGTACCTGACCTCTGCTCCATTGCAGATTCCCACTCTCCACTTTAAGGGCCCATCTCTTGCTCTCTGTACTTCTTACCACCCCTACTCCCACGGCCCCACCCCCAGCAGGGCTGGCCACAACAGTGGAGATGGGGCCTTTTAGCATGAACCTCCCGTTTCCCCTTGCACCTCCTGACTCTGTACCCAGGTTTCCATCCCTCATCTTGGGGCGCCCCCCACCCTGCCCCAGCCCCTTCTCCTGCTTACTGCCTGGCAGATCATCTGGTAGTTGGTGAGCGTGATGCCTCCTGCAAAGACGGCAGAGGTCATGGCCATGTGGAAGCACAGGTTCAGCAGCATGTGCCAGCCCTTCCGGGACACGTGGATGGAGCTGCCCCAGAAAGGGTCTTTAATTAATGGGCCACCCAATCCAAGGTCAGACCCATGGGGTCTCAAGGCCATTGGGCGAGCGGTTGGAGGCGGCGGTGGGGTAGGGTGGGGAGACAGATATCTGTGTGCATGCACGTGTGTGGATGTGATTAGAGGGCCCAGGGCAGGATGGGCTTTGCCTCCAAAATGTGTTTTGCAGCCCTAGAACCTTCAAATAAAATGCTAGGCAAGAGACTGGGAAAGTCATGTGGACCCCTTGGGAAAGGAACCCTTGGCCAGGACTCAGTGAGACCCACAGCCTTCCCTCCATGTCCCTCCTTCCTTCAGGAGCTCCCACCTGTGGTTGAGGATGTAGGTAATGATGGTGGAGAAGAGGCAGAGCAGCAGCAGGGCAGTGCAGGGGTACACCACTGGATGCAGCCCTGCCCCTGAGCCCCCCACCTCCCTGGGGAAGGCACTCAGCTCCTGGAAAGGGTAGGAAGAGGAAGTATTAGGAAGCCAGGGGTAGGGGCCACTCCATGGAGTCCTGGCCAGTCCCCCAGACCATTTTTCCTTTTCCCAAGTCGGATCAACTTTAGCCCCTAGTCCATCTGGGTAGGCGAAGGCGTTAAATGCTGCGACATCCACTCTTAGAAAGTCAATCTTAGGTAGTGTTAATAATCCACCGCCATCGGCCACTTTCTCCCTCCTAGCCTCTTGCCCTTCTGGGAACACATCTGATGCTCAATGTAAAAATCAGAGATGAGGGCAGCCCCGATGGTGCAGCGGTTTAGCGCCGCCTGCAGCCTAGGGTGTAATCCTGGAGACCCAGGATTGAGTCCTACGTCAGGCTTCCTGCATGGAGCCTGCTTCTCCCTCTGCCTGTGTCTCTGCCTCTCTCTCTCTCTCTGAATGGATAAATAAATAAATAAATCTTAAAAAAAAAATAAAAATCAGATGAGGAAAGAAGGGGAGGTTTCTGTCTATAATCCAGTTGCCAGCCTGGTCAGGATCTGGGACAGTGGGGTGTAAAATGTGGTGAAGGAGCGGGAACTGGAGAGGAGTGAGCGAGGAGGGTGACCAGAAAGGAGAAATGTTCCTACATGTTTTTTTTTTTTTTTTTTTTTTGCCACTTTAACAATCTGGGTCTCAGAGAGTGCAGGACGTGAGGGCCAGGCTGGATGGTTCCAGATCCATGTCTCTCGATGAGTGGAGGCAAGACTCCTCTGTCTCCTGAAAGATGAAACGTGTGGGGAAGACCAGAGGGACATTTCCCATGAATCCTAGTTATGAGGCTTGCGAGGCTGCCGCCTTTCTCTAGTTCTCAGCGGTGCCAGGTGGTCAGAATACCTGGGTCTTCCCCGCATCGCGCACACTTCCCTGGTCCTCCCAACCTTCCCCCCGCCACTCCACTCACCATGAGCACCGCCACGTTGCCCAGCTGCTGGCACTGCAGGGAGCTGACATTGGGCTGGCTGGAGCGGAGCTGGCAGCCCTCGGAGCTCCACCTCCCGGGTCCCCCCGGGCCGTCCTGGGTCCACCAAGCTGCCATGGGTTCAGCCCCCTCAGCCCAATGCCGCAGTGAAATGGCCACCGGCTCGGTCAGGTTTCCCACGCCACAGCCACCTGCAGGGGAGAAGGAAGACCACCCAGGTAGAGCGGGGGGCACGGGGTGGCTGCACCCCTGGGGCAAGGCGTGTGCTGGGCTTCGGATCCAGTGGGATTCCTGCCTTCCAGGTTGTGGGTCTCCCCCAGGGAGGCTCAGGATGATCTGGGAGGTGGCCCATTCCAAATGCCAAATGAGTGGTGGCGTCAAGTACCCAAGAAGAGCCGATCTGGGGCTGGGGCGGGGAGGGGGGTGGTGGGAAGGAGGGTAGAAGGTAATACTGGGAAGAGGAAGGTGAGGGAGGACTCGGAGTGCGTTCGTAACCTTTTTGAAATTCGACAAGTCCAGGATGTAAATCCCAATGTCCTCCAGAGCCTTGTCTCCAGCAATCCCTTCCTTTACGGGATGTCTCCGTCCCTTATCCCCGCCCCAAATGGCGAGGGGCCCTTTCCTCAGCCACCTCCCCCAGGGCGTGAGGGGCGCTGTGGGTGTGGGAAGGGCAGGGCGAAGGGGCGCGGGGCAGACACTGGGGAGCGCTGCGCTGCGCGGGGCGTAGGGCCCTTACTGGTTCCCGCGAAGATGACAGGGGTGGCCACACCGCGCCGCTTGCTGGGCCCCGCGCCTCCTGGGCGGGAGGTGTTGCCGTGGCTGCGAAAGAGGCGGCCGTTTCGGAAGATGAGCAGTTGCAGGGTGCAGTCTGGGGGAACAGGGGGAGCCAGGGCAGCCGGAAGGGACGAGAACAGACTGGACGGCAGCTGGATGGAGGCCAGGGCCACGCTGTTCTGGGGGGGACATTGGAGTTCCTCAGAGACATCCGGGAACCCTTCGGACTCTGGGGCCTTCCAGTCCCCTCCTCCCGCCTCCCCTGAACCCCCTTTCTGGATCTGCTTCCACACACACCACTCACCCTCCCTAGGCACCTGCGTCTGGCACATCCCTCCCCTGGTGCCCACCTTGATGTGGAAAGACGACAGAGAAATGCTGGGTCTCCCCGTGGTGCAGCGGAAGCGGAGCTGCTGATCAGCCAGGGGCTCTGGCTCCGGTGAGGGGTTCTGGCCAGGGCCCCCAGGCCGCACACCCGGCACTCCTGCCTCCCTTCTCTGGAAGGCTGTGCAGGTCAGCCCCACATAGCTGTGTGGCTTGATGAGGTAGGCCTCCAATGCCACGTTCCTTGAGTTCTGGGGATATGGAACCTGTCACCCTCCATCTGAGATATAGTGGCTCTCTCTTGGCCTCCTGCCTGATGCTGCCCAGTCCCTCTCTGCAGATTTGTCCCCCTACACACTCCTTACTGTCTTCTCAAGGCCTGGCAGTTTTACATCTGCTGCAGCGTCTCCCCAACCCCTGGCCATAGCACCTTCTCCTAAGACCCTTCATCCCACTCTCACCCTACCTCAGACCTTGCTCACCTCTGAACAGTACTAGTTCTGCTGCCCCAACCAAGCCTCAGAGCAGGGCCCACGTCCCACCTCCTTATACCTCCTCAAGTGACTAGCACAGTATCTTCCACGTTAAAGGTGCTCTGCTGTGGTGGTTCATTGGGTCACAACCCACCATTGGCAATGTCACCCTCTCCTTAGGGAACAGGAGTCTCCATTACTCCTCATTCCATCACAGCACTGTCATCCTCCTTCCAAACCTCCTCTTATTCCTTTGACTCCTTTTACCCTTCTTTCTGTTCACTTCCGTTGGGCTAGCATTATAACTCAGTTTCCCACCATGAAGTCTTGAATAACGGCCCTGTCACCGGACCCTCCCTCTCCTTTGTGCTGTCCCTGACAACTTGGAATTGGATTCCACACAAGTGAGTCACACTCGGGGTTCTTGCTAGCTGAGCGCATGACAGGTGCATACTTGGAGGACTTGCTGCCCAAAGACAGGAGTGTTTGCCTCCTGGCAGGCAAGGGCTGGCCCCAGTTGACTGTAAGGTCCCTCCCAGGGCTAGGCTCCCCAAGGAGCTCCCTCCCAGTTGATCCATATTACCACAGAGATGTGCTGGGCGTGGGGGCTGAGGGCAGCCCCCCCGATGCGCTCCAGAGCACCCACGATGCCACTGCAGGCCTTGTCCTCACGCTGGGCCAGCCACAGCAGGTGCTCGTCCACCAGCATCAGGTTGCTGGCCATGTCCACCATCACCTCCACCAGCTGGCAGGGGGCCAGGGGCATGGAGTCACTGAGGGCAGGAGCGGGGTTTGGGGCCCAGGGGCTGGGGCAAAAGAGGCTTGAGCAAATGTTGGGGGGGTGGTTTCCAGGGACCCCAGAGGCCGGGTTGAATCTCACCTCTTTGATCTGGTCAACATAACCCAAAAATTTCTGGATCATCTGAGCCACATAGACAACATCCATCATGTCTGAGAAGCTGGCGGCCTCTGCTGTGTACACTCGCAGCTGGTGGGCCAGGGTCAGTGCGTTGGAGGCATTGATGGGCATCTGGGAGAATTGAAGGAAGAAAGGAGCTGGTCCATTGGGCTCCCTCCTCCCCAGGGGCCCCCTGGTCTGTGCTGCTGCTGGGGCGACAGTGCCCTGGGAGAGGGGGCTGGCCCACAAGCTGGGTCTAGTCAGGATAGAAGGCACATGTAAGGAATGAACTCAACAGGACTCCAGGCTGCCCACTTCTAACACCACTTCTAACGCCCTAAGGATAATGGGATGGCCTCACACAGTCCTCATTTGTGTGGCTCAGCGGTTGAGCATCTGCCTTTGGCTCAGGACATGATCCTAGGGTTCGGGATCCAGTCCTACATCAGGCTCCTTGTAGGGGGCCTGCTTCTCCCTCTCCCTATGTCTCTGCCCCTCTCTGTGTCTCTCATGAATAAATAAATAAAATCTTGAAAGAAAGAAAGAGAAAGAAAGAAAGAAAGAGAAAAAGAAAGAAAGAAGAAAGAAAGAAAGAAAGAGAAAAAGAAAAAGAAAGAAAGAAAGAAAGAAAAAGAAAAAGAAAGAAAGAAGAAAGAAAGAAAGAAAGAAAGAAGAAAGAAAGAAGAAAGAAAGAAAGAAAGAAAGAAAGAAAGAAAGAAAGAAAGAAAGAAAGAAGAAAGAAAGATAGATGCTTGGGGTGGCCCTGGGGGGAGGTATCTGAACACCCTAGAAGGAGAAAAGCTAGATGAGAAGAGCAAGAGGCCCTCGGGACGCACGCCACCCCCCCCCAGAACAGAGGGGCAGCAGAGCCTGCAGCCCAGCCATGAGGGGGGGTCCTAGGCCCCATGGGGCAATCCGGCTTCTCTCCTTCCCACTCCCCAGACCAGAGCTGATGAGATGCCCCCTCCCCACCTCCTCTCCTGGCCTCACCAGCACGAATGTGTAGAGCACCCGGGTGATGTCATTGGTGTACAGACAGTGGGAGTAGTCCCCCGGCTCCCAGCGGCCAGCTCGGTCGCACCGGCGGGAGGCTCGGGTGCCTGGGGCGCCCCCACTCAGGGGCACGGAGGTGAAGGGGTACTGTAGACAGGACTGGTATGCTGTGATGCCCGCCAGAGTTCGAGGCCACCTGGGGGCAGAGATGGGAGGCCTCTGACGCCCTAGGCTCTGCAGAGCAAGGGTCCCTCCTCTGCCCTTGGCCCTGTGATGCTGAGCCCCATGGGACCTCAGGGAGGGATTCAGAGACAGTGGCTCCGGAGCTCCACCTTCTTCCTAACTCCGTGTTTGTTCAGACTGGGAGCCTTGAGTAAGTCCCTCGCCCTCTCTGGGCCTGAGTGTTCCCAGCTGTACATGGGGAGGATGATCCCGGCCTTTCCTAACCAAGACGACCACTGGGATATTAAAATGTGATACTCGTGGTGGGAGAGTTTTGTCAACTATTAATGCAAGGAAACAAGAAAAACAAAATCCCACCCAAACTTTTTGTTCTGCATCAGATGGGGAGTTTATACAAAAAGATAAGGTCTCTGTAGATACAACAGCGGGACAGTGGGACGCGGGGCTGGGCGACAGGAGCGCTTTCTCCATCTTACAGCAGGTGCGGAGCCCTGGGGCCCCGTTTGTTCTCGACGCCGGAGCTGGGGTGGGGGTGGGGGGTGGGACCGGTGGTGATGCGCCCCTGGGGCGGCAGAGGGCGCCCTACCTGAAGTCCCCGCGATTGTTGGCGACTCGCTCAGCGGGGCAGTAGGAGGCGGAGGTCTCCAGCACCACGATCTCCACCTTCTTGCTGGCGTTGCCCTGGGCGGTGGACACGGAGCACTCCCACTCCCCTGACGCCCAGACGCCGATGTGAGACAGGGTCAGCTCGCTGCGGGGCGGGCGGCGGGGGGCTGCTGGGTGAGGCAGTCTGGACGCCGGCCCCCCCAGGCGCCCCAGAGCCCACCCGCAGCGCCCTGACCTAGGGCCTGCGGGGCATGAGCTTCAGGGCTTTCTTTAACTGAGCGAAGGACACAAGTACATTCTCCTTTAATATCGATTGGCCTTATGATACTGTTTGGCTGAGCTTCCATCCCCCCCTTCATCATGGAGCTAATAACACCTCCCTTGCAAGTCTATTGCAGAGATTCAGTCCCAGCACATAGGTGAGAGTCACTATATACATTGTAAAAGTGCTAAAGAAATGTCAGAATCAGTTTTTTCTTCCTATCTGGCAATGACTTTCTATCCCCCAGCCAGACCCTTTATGACTTAGTCCTGGATTTCCAGAAACACACGTGCACGCTTACACAGAAGAACATACCCTCGGGAACATGTCTGAGCCCAACTCATTTGGGGGGCGGATGATGGGCACCGTGGCCTCCCCCACCCCACGCCTCCGACTGAGAAGAGGCAGCAGGGCCTGTACCTGGTGATGAACGTGCAGTCGTGGATGAGGCTCTCCGCCAGGAGGATGCCCGCCTGCTCGTCGCCCTCCAGGGGAGCTCGGTTGTGGTACCAGCGAATGCGGGTGTCATTGCCCAGGTAGCTGGCGGAGCACTGGAAGGGCAGGCGGTCGCCCTGGAACACCACTTGGCGTAGGGATGGGATGAGGTGGTGTGTGTGCAGCTCCAGGGCCCCTTCTGTGGGAGGAGACATGGGCAGTGAGGCCATCGTGCACCAGTGTGGAAGATGCCAGTAGGGGCACGGCCAGGCCCCATCTGACTGGAGCCCCCTCTAGCTAGGTAAACAGGGCACGGGAGAAAGCCTCTGGAGAGGAGAGCACAAGAGAGGAACAGGTGGGTTTGGGACAAGCAAATAAAAGTGCTCCTTTCCATGGCACACTTATCACCCCAAGAGGGGGACCAGGTGAAAACATAAAGCAGTGGCCCCAAAGAAAATGAGGAAATGCTGATGGCTGGAGAAGGACCCCCAGTGGGATCTGAGGAGGATGCCCTGGAGAACATGCCCACCACTCAATAACACAAGGCGGAGGGAGTCTTGAGCCAGCCGGGACCCTTCAGGAGCGCATCTGCACCAGGGGGTAGGCAGAGGGGCCCCTGGCAGGTGTGTGGGCTGAGGATGTGCTCACCACAACGCAGCTGGGCCTCCTGGAGGCCACCCAGGGCCTGGGCATGCAGGGCAGCGGGGTAGGCACAGACCGTGTGCTCAGACAGCTGCAGGGAGCGATTCCGGGCCCAGGGCAGCAGCCAGCGCAGGTGGCAGTCGCAGGTCAGGTATTCAGTACCCAGATCCCTGCAGAAATGGGGAGAGTAGGGCAGAGGGAGTGTGGGCTCCTGGGGGGTGGGGATGGAGCCCTGGGAGAGACTGAGGCTGGAAGGTCCCAGCACCGCCAGCCTGGCGAGAGTGGGAAGGCAATGGTGGTTTGGGCCACTGCCTGTCCTGCCCACGGAGAAGGCTGGCCGCGGTGGTCATTATATTTATGTGTGTCCTCCCTGGGCAGAGAAAGGAAGCTGGGCTCTGGGTCCTTGGGTGGGAAGAGATACTCACACAACCTTAAGGGCTGGCAGCTCATCAAAGACCCCAGGTTGTAGACTGGAGAAGATGTTTCCAGATATGTTTCTGCAGGGGGCAGGGAACAGTGAGCCGGGATCTTAGGGTCTCCCTGGGCCAGAGGAGGGAGAGTGAGTGAAGGGGGAGGGCAGGGGTGTGCTATGAGGGTCTCTGCTGCTCCTCCTTGGAGAAGAGCCTTCCCTCCCCACTAACTGCCCCCACTCACAGTCGGAGAAGCCTGGGGAGGCCTTGGAAGGTGTCAGAGGTGAGACAGCCAATCCGGTTGTTGGAGAGATCTCTAGAGGGACACACACAGCCTCAGTAAGCGGGCCACATGGTAGCACATGGATCCACTCGGGCGGGTCACATGTGTGTGTGGCGGGGGCTTGTGTGGGGAGCAGGATGGGATGAACAAGGAGATGGGCCTCAAGTGCCTCCCCTGCCTGCCCCTCCCCCACAGTACGATGAGTGGGGGGACAAGAAGGGATAGTGGGGCGAGGGATCCAGGGGACCATCTCCAGGGATAGGGGGAGGGCTGGGAGGGCTGGGGGAGCAGGACATGCCACTCACAAGCGCTTCAGCTCCCCCAGGCCCAGGAAGGCCCCAGGCTGCACCGTGCTGATGACATTATTCCTCAGGTCCCTGTGGGAGGCAAGTGGGAGGCCTCACACCTCTCCCAGTCTGGGGGCCCGCATGCTCCCCTGGGGTGGGGAAGCCTCATTTCGACCACAAGTGTTGGGAACTGGATTCTCCTCAGCCCTGGTGGGGAGGCTGGATGAAGGACTCCACCCCTCAGCTAGGTCTCCTTGCCCCTCCCGGCCTCAGCTACCATCAAGGGGTGCTGGTCATAAAGATGTCAAGAAGAACACAGAGGCCAAGAGATGGGATGGGGGCCCCATGGATGAGGAAGCAGAACCCAGTAGAAATAAGGAGCAGAGCCAGCACTTGCCCCTGTTGCTCCCATCCGAGCTGCCAAGGAATCTCACAGGGGCTGCTGTGAGGACCACTTGATAATGGGTGTGAGAGTCTTTTGTAAATTGCTCTAGAAAGGTAAGATCTTCTGGAGCCCAGTAATGGGGGAGGTATTTCCATAGCTGTTCTGTCCAGATTGATCTCTCCATGTGACAGGTGAGGAAGCAAGCCATGCAGCTGATGACCCCCGGGTGCTGACCACGGGCTCTGACACCAGGGCAGAACTATAACCCCTCCTGGGGACCCCTCATTCTTCAGATGAAAAAAGGCAACGCTGATGGGGGGGTATCCTAGGAGCCCACGGTGCTGAAGCACGTACAAGGGAAATGCCATCTCTGGGCCCCGCTCCAGCTGGTTGACACAGAAGAAGATGATGCCCCCGCAGGGCTCCATGGGGTCAAGGGCCATCCACCAGAGGAGTGAAGGGCAAGTGAGTCGTCAGTGCAGCTTCTGCACCAGGGTCTGGTTGCTCAAACTCATCCACGCAGCCACTGCAACCCTCTCTCCCTTTCATCCCCTCTCCCAAGGAGTGGCAAGGGGTGTAAGGACCCACTTGGGACCCACAGGTGCCTACCGGGCCCCATCGCAAAACCAGACTGGTAGCTCCCTGGGACCACTAAGGACCAAGGTGTAGTGTTGGCCCACGGGCTACCCTCCCATCCTTTGCTTCCGGAGCACAGCCGCGGGGAGAGGTGCTAGACCACCACCTGGCCACTCACCCAACTACTCAATGACCACCTGAGTCTTTCCTGAGCACAGCCAGCACGCTTGCAGCCCCCCAGAGCAGTTGACCAGGGCCTCACTGCTCAGCCAGCCTGCCTCCCCTCCTGGGACCCCGGGCTGGGGGCTGCAGCTCCTTGCATGCTCCCTTCACTCCAGCCAGCCCTCTGCTCCCACCCAAGCACCCAGGAGAGTATGAGGCAGAGGGCTGGGGTGGGGGGATTCCTGGAATGACCAGCCTGTTGGAAAGAGGCTGTGCAGGAAGTAGGAGATGGACAGAAATATCTGGGGTCAACTTGTTTTCCAAGGCCCTGTGACCCTCCAGCTCAGGCTGACACATGGGGGCACGTGGCTCTGCCGGCCATTAAAATCTCAGGGACATCTCTGGATTACAGGCAGGAGGGGGTTAACTGGCCACTCCCTGCTCTGGGAGAGGAAATGGGTGTCCAGGATGGGGAGGTGCCATCCCACCAGGGGGCCTGTTTTCGCACAGCCAGTCCCAGCTGGGAACAAAAACACCCAGAGAGAGAGAGAAATGAAACACCCTCATACCAAGGACTTGGCCTCCAGAACCCCAAGTCTCTTGAGAAGGAAGGGAAAGCCACCAGAAGGGGCCAGCTTCCTAGAGAAGGGAGGGCTTCCATACCCAGGCTGGTGGTGTCCCAGCAGGGAATGTGCAAGAACGCAGACCCTAGATGCCAATACGGCATGGAGACTGGAGATGGGTGGGGGAGCGGGGTGTGGGGGGTAGCCCCCTGTGCTGCCCTTCCTGCCAGCACCCCCCATTCAGTTCCCTGCTCTCACAGCACCCGGTCTGGTGCTGTTCAGCATGTGCCCCCTGGCCCCGGTTGGGGTCTGGCCATTCTCAGGGCTCTGCCTCCCACCCCCACGCAGGGGACGCGGGGGACGGGCAGAGGGAAACACATTCCTCATTGTGTCACTTCCCTTCATGGGCTGCCAAGGGGCTGAGGCCGCAGCCCCCCGCCCCTTCCCTCTCCGCTCACTGTGTTTATTCTCATTTCCTCCCCGGCCCCCCTTGAGAACCCCCACCCCGCCTGCCCCACTGATGCTCTGCAGATGGGAGCAAGGCGGCCACTTGGGCCCCAGCCCCTTCCTGCCCTGGATTTCCTGCAGCCCAGAGCCACGTGGGGGCCCTCTGAGAGGGGAGCTTCCACCGAACGTTGGCATTCCTTCCCCCTTGCCTCATGCCCACAGAATGGCATCAGAGGTGACCAAGGCAGCCCCTCAACCGACCAGACAGGCCAGTCCTGGGTCTTCTCCTGAGGGGCACAGGCCTGGGGCTGCTCACTGGGCTGAGCTTTGAGAGTGGAATGGGATCCTGGTCCCTAACATAGAGGAAGCAGGTCTGGGGCTGTACCCTTCCTAGCAGCAGGAGAAAATGTTATCATAGAACTTGGATTTTTTTTTTTTTTTGGACCAGCAAGGTCCCTATAGGTTGGTGTTCCTTGCTTAGCACATCCTTTTAAAAGTTTGATGACAGCTATGGACTCCTGCCTCAGAAAAGTACACTACACCCAACACTGTGTACATGATTTCAGGCGGCTTGTGGAACCCAGGTGATGAACCCCTGCCCTGGATTGTCTACTCTGATCCCTTCATTTCTTTCTTTCTTTCTAAAGATTTTTAAATGTTTTAAGAAATTTCTACACCCAGTGTGGGGCTCGAACAACCCCAAGATCAAGAGTTTCACACTCCACTGACTGAGCCATTCAGGCACCCAAAATCCCTTCATTTCTTAGGTGAAATCATGAGGGTAAACAGATGTTTCTATGAAGTGGAATCTCCCATCTTCTCCCTGCTTCCATAGAGCCCAGGACTTGGAAGCTGGGAAAGGTGTGGTGTGTAGATGGAACCTTCCCTCCCCACCGTCCATTGTGCAACCCAGAGCGAGGCTACCCTGATTCGAGGCATACTCCTCTCCATGTATCTATGCCAGTATGGAGGGGAAGGACTCTATGGCAGAAGGTGGGCGGGGGTGGGGGAGCCTGAGAGCAAATCATATTCTTCTTGGGAAAGCTGGAGCTCAGAAGCTGAGTGTAACATGAGTATGTGAGCATAAGCAATAAAAGAACAGATTAATAAAGTGGACTTAATAAAAACTTAAAACTTCTGCTCTCTAAAGGACACCAAGAAAGTGAAAGGCAACCCAAGGGAATGAGAGAAAATATTTGCAAATCACATATCTAATAAGGGACTTCTATCTAGAATATACAAAGAACTCTTCCAACTCAATAATAGACAAACCAGATGAAAAGAATGGGCAAAGGATTTGCATAGACATTTCTTCACAAAGAGCAGATACAAATGACCAAATAATGCATGAAAAGATGGTGGGCACCATTGGCCATTAGGGAAATGCAAAGCAAAACCACAGTGAGATACCACCTCATACGTGCTAAGATGGTGATAATAGAAAAACAGGCAATAGCAAGAGTTGATGAGGCTGTGGAAGACTGGAACCCTTACATATTACTGGTAGCAGTGTAAAGTGGTGCAGCCACTGTGAAAACCAGTTTGGCAAGGGACCCAGAGACTGCACTCCCATGTGCACGTCCAAGAGAAACGGGTGTATATCTGCACAAAAACCTGAACAGGAATGGTCACAGCCGCATTATTCATAAGAAGCCCCAAAGTGGAAACATCCCAAATGTCCGGCACTTGATAGCGCATTTATGCTATATTCTCACAACAGAGTATCATTCGGCCCTATTTTATGGAATGAGCTGCCAAAACATGAGACAATATGGATGAACCTTGAAAACATTTAAGCTAAGTGAAAGAAGCCCGATTATAAAAGATTCCATATATGATTCCATTTAGATGAAATGTCCAGAATAGGCAAATCTATAGAGGCAGAAGGATTAGTGGTTGCTTAGGGCTGGGAAGCAGGAGGGGGAGTGGGGAGTGGCTGCTAATGATGCACAGTTACTTTGGAGATGATGACAATGTTCTAAAATTAGATGCTGAAGGCCGCACAACTGTGTAAATACACTCTGAGCCTTCGGATGGCACACTTTAAGTGGGTGAACTTTACGGGATGTTAATTATATCTCACTAAAGCTGTTAAAGAGTGAGTGTGCAGGCCAGAGCGTGTGTGTGTGTGGGGGGGGGTGAGCGTGGACCTCGTTTGGAGAGGGTGGGGTGGCTCCCTCTGGCCCCCACAGACCTCCCTGCTTGTGGGTTTAGAAACCAAATTATAGGTTCGGAGGCCACAGAACAGCTTTCCCTGGGCCCACCAGGACTTCCAGGGTTCTTTCAAAAGTGGGGGCTGGCTGAGAAGAGGGCCAGACTCCCTCGCAGGTACGAGGGTGTGGGGGGAGCAGCAGGGGGAGGACCTGGCCCAGGAAAACCGAGCAGGTCCCTCCCGGTGGCCCTCTGGTCTCTGATATCATCCAACAGGTATTTATTGAGCATGTACACTATGCCAGGCACTGGGGCTCCAAGGGCAGGCACGAGGGCTGTCCCCAAGCCCACGAGCCTCCCTCCCCAGGCCTGGGGGCTCCCAGCGTCAGCAGCCTCTCTTCTGCATTCCTCCCCAGTGGAGTGGGGATGGGAAGGGGAGGAGTGCGGGCCAGGCGGCCTTGCTCGTGGCCCCGCCCACGGATTAATGGAAACCACCTGGCGGGTGAGAAGCACTCCACCCCCAGCACCCCCCTTGCCATCATTCCCATGAGCATCTGCTTCTAATGAGTGCCCCAGCACCGCTGCATACCAGCCCCCGGGGCTCATTAATCTCATTAGGCAATGACAAATCATCCTGGGGCTGACCAGGCTCCCCTCACCAGGCCCTCTACTCCAGGCGTGCAAGCCTCCAGGGGCGTGTGTCCACACAGAGCCACTTGCTCACATGCACACCCACTCTCCCTCGGCCTCTTCTGGGGGCTGTCTGTCCTGCAGCCCACTTGGTCTGCAGTCTGGGGGCTTCTCACTGGGGCCTGGCACCCTCGGAGCCCCGGGGGAGGTCTTCTGGTGGCCGGCTCCCTGCTGGATGCCCAGGCAGTGGGGGATGTGGGCAGAGATGCCAGGGACCAGAGGGGCCATCCGTGAGGAATTTCTGGGCACCCACGCACACATGCACGTATCAGCCCCAGGACTGGCCGCTCAAGGTGGGGAGCGCTGGGCAAATCCATGCAATGAGGGGCTGCTGATAGCACATCTTGCAACTTCAAACTCTCCCAAGGAGAAGGGAACGGAAGAAGCACTTACTGAAAAGCCTGTGCTGTCCCCTGTCTAGGGTTCCTTTTTCAGAGGAGAAACCCTGAGGCTTGGACAGGCACCCAGAAAGTAAATCACAGAGGCAGGATTCGATCCCAGGCCTCTCTTACTCCAGAGTGGATTTCTGTGCCCTTCATCGCCTGCCCTGTCTCCACCCCAGAAGTCTTTCCCCTGGGTAACAGACAGGGTCCTCCGTCAGGAGGGCTGGTGGGATACAGGGTGGGGGGGGGGCTCAGACAGAGGGCCTCACACACATCTGGACAATTCTGTACACCCCTTGGGCTGGCCACAAACTGCTCCTCTGGCCTGTTTCAGGTTTTCTTGTCCATCCTGCTTGACTTATAGGATCCCACAAGGTGTGCCCTCCATCCCCACTCTCCCACTCGCCTCTCTGGGGCACCTGTTCTCCCCTGAGATCATTGCAGGCATATTCCCAAGTGGTACCCTCTGTCTCCTCCCCAACCCCAGCCTCAAGGCCCTGCCATGCATTACCAGGGACCAGGCTGATTTCCTCCCCCCATATGCTTATACTTAACCCATTTCCAAAGGCCAGAGGGGTGCTTAGCACAAGGAGGCAATGCTGGCATTCTTGCAGCCCAGATCTACCATTTCAGTCATTAGGGGAGGCCCCAACCCTCCCACGGGACTTGCCGCTCACAGACTGTGGGATGTTAAGCTGCCATAGCCTCAGCTGCCCAAGCCTGGATGTCTGAGCTTGACAGGACAGAGAGATCAGTGTTTCCTGGCACCAACTGCAGGCCAGGCCACGGCGTCTCATTTGTGATGAATAGGCTCACAGTCTTGGGGTCATCTGGTCTACTGGTTCCCAACCCCAGATGAGCATGAGAAGCGTCTGCATACCTTGTAAAAAAATTCCCAGGCCCCTTCCGACTTGATGAATTAGCATCTCTGGGAGTGGGGCACAGGATCTCTCCCCATCCCTGGGAGAGTGGGACAGTGGTTTTGATGACTAGTTTTGTGTGTCCACTTGGCCAGGCTATAGCACCTTGTAACTTAATCAAACACTAAGGGAGTTGTCTCTGTGAAGGTATTTTGTAGATGTGGTGGACATCTACAATCAGTTGACTTTGATAAATAAGGTTACGTTGGATAATATGGTGGGCCTCATCCAATCAGTTGAAGGGCTTAAGAACAAAAACAGGTTTCCCAGGGAAGAAATTCTGTCTTGAGACTAAAGCTTCAACTGCTGCTTGACTTCCCAGTCTGCTGGCCTGCCCTACAGATTTTTGGATTTGCCAGACCCCACAATCATACAAACCATTTCCCTAAAAGAAATTTCTTTATAAAGAACAAATGTAAAATAATTCCTTTATATATTTATAGAAAGATACACAAACACACACATATGCATCTCCTATTGGTTCTCTTTTTCTGGAGAACCATGACTGATGCAGTAGTGATCAGCCAGGTTAGAGCTCCTGGGCTCCTCTAGCCCCTGCCCTGCCTTTCTATCTCTGGGAAGCATCTTTCTACCTCTGAACACAGCACGCCCCTCTCCCAGAGGCCTCACCTCTTCTGGAAAGCTTGGCTGCATCCTTGGGCGCTCTGATTTTTTTTCCTTCTCAAGCGGCACTTACGGGTATCTCTCTCTCTCTTTCTCTCTCTCTCTCTCTCACACACACACCCAAGGATCACAGAATTTAAAATCCATAATATAGCTTACAAATCACCCTGTCCCCCCTTTTTTATAGATGAAGAAACCAAGATCCCAGACCTGGCACCCACCCCAGCATCACGCTGACCTCATCTCCTACCACTTCCCATTAACAGGTGCTTCTTCTGTTCCTCAGACCCATCAGGCATACTGTGGACCCAAGGGTTCCTCCCTCCCGAAGGACTCAGACTCAGTCATCTTGTCAGGGAGGCCTTCCTTGACCTCACTGCATAAAACAGCAGCCTCCTCCTGCTGCATGGCTTTCTGTCCCCCCTCACCCTCTTTGTTTTCCTTTGTAGACTTATCTCCTGATATATTATACATTTATTTGCTATTTTCTGGGTCCTCTTGGTAGAGGGTAAGTTCCATGAGGGCAGGCACTCGGTCTGCTGTGTTCACTCCCAATGCCTAGAACACTGACACACAAAGGGGGCTCAGCAAATAACTCTAGAACGAAGGCCTTGGATGCTTCTTAACAGAGCAGTGCTCATACTCAGGATTCTGAATTCAAATTTGTCTCCTGCCCCACACTCCTGCCACGCAATTCAGCTTTTAGCCATTATTTTTGGACCACTCTCTCATTTTTCTCTGTTTCCCATGCTTTGAAAGCACCTGCCATGCAGTGACTCGGGTCCCCAGTGCTGGGGAGATTCAGTATGTTGATGTGAGTGAGAAGGAAAGGACCATCTTCTTTTCTTCATCGGCAAGTTTACCCTCGTGAGACTAAAGGATGAGAAGCGGGGAGACCCCATGGGTCTGTAACTGATAAAGTGAGAGAGTAAAGATGGGAAGATGTCAGTGGGGCCACCAGAGGCACTGAGCAGTCTTGTTCATGGTAAGGAGAAGGGACACGAACTCTGGATGGTGACTGGCTCTGGTGAGGCAGGGCAAAGGGCCAGAGGCAGCTGCAGTTTGTCATCCTCCTAAAGATCCCCAGAAGGAGCATGTGGTTTCCTGACACTCAGCCCTCTGAGACCAAGCCTGGGCTGAGTGCAGGGATCAGAGCTCAACTGCTTGTGGGAGATAAAAACTTTCCCGACCTGGTGGTACCCAAAGAGACTTTTTAACAGCAGCTTGGTGGTAGCCCCTTCTCCTCGCCTGGATCACCCTGTCTGTGAGCTGCAGAGCAGAGGGTTGAGGGACCTGGTCGTGGAGCTGTGTGCATGCACTACTGCCAACATCCTGAGATCCCCTTCCACCCCAACATGCCCCAGATCAGAGAGAACATGCTCTGGCTTTCCACCTCAAACACGATATTGCCCCTTCCATGCCACTAATCCAACCAGGCCATTGAGCTTTCTTCACAGTGCTGGGGAGTGTGTGAGAGAGGCTTTCCCTTCCCCTGTGAAGTGGGTGGTAACAGAGATGACCTCATAAGACTGTTGTCATGGCTGAAGACCTACACTCCAAGTCGTGGAGATACTGCATTCCAATTACCCTTGGATTTTCCAGTCTTCACTGGCTCAGTGAAGTCCCTCCTTTGGGCTTTATGGAAGCCCCAACCTACTGCACTCAAACACACACGACATTGTTGTGGTTCCACTAGACTATAATCTCTGGCTCTTTGAGAGCAGAGCTTCCACCTTATTCTTCTGTATCCTTCATCACACTGACCCAAACCTGTCAGGCAAAATGGCAGTAGAGGGGTAGGGGCTCTGTTGAAGAATTTGGGAATGCTCTGCAGGATGGGAGCAGAGGTAGAAGACAGGGTAGGGGAGAAAGCAAGGATCATGCTCCAGGAGGGACAGAAGCCCAGGTCTCCTGTGGAGAAGACAGCACCCAAAGCGGTTGTACAGGCTGTGGTCTCTGGAGCAGGACCTCTGAAGGGAGAATGAGGGAGGGGCTGGTTCAATCCCCTCGCTTGGCAGGTTAAGTGACTTGCCCTCTCCTGAGTCAGGTCCCCAACTCCAGGGAAAAAGTCCCTTCTGGTCAGCAGGGCCCTTGCAGTCCTGAGCCCAACACCAGCCTGCTGGGCCTGTAGGGCAGCCCAAACCAGGGCAGTGCGGGTGGGGTAGGGGCCCTTTGGAGGTGAACCACTTTCCCCACCCTCAGCCCAGGGCACTAGCCTGTTGGGGCTTTGTTTGTTGATTTGTTTTGGGGAGGGGGGAGAGGAGGAAAGAGGCCTCAATCACACTAAATTCTCCTCATCCTCAGCCCTTTATGCTGGGCCCCCAGCTGGAGCGGGAGATGGCATCTGGCCAGCTAAGGGGTTCAGCCCTCGCAGCTAATTGCTCATTAAAGAGCGTTAATGAACTTCCTGGAGCCCCATCCTTGCCTAGGTTTCCCTACTTCGCTGCTGTCACTGGTGAAGGAGCTGGTCCCTCTCTCCATACCCTCCCCTCAGTGGGTCAGGTCTGGGTGGGGTTCCCATGGGTCTGACTCTGGGCCCCGCTTAGCTGGCAGGTTCTGGGGTTGAGGGGTCCCTCAGCACTTAGGGGTCCTTATCCTGCCTGGACTGACTTCTTGCCCATGACGGCCATGCCCCACCTCTGCCCCGCTTCGCCGCAGCACTTACAGCTTCTCCAGCAGGGACAGTCCCAAGAAGGATCCGTTTCGGAGTCCAGTGATCTTGTTGTTGCTCAAGAGCCTGGAGGAACAGAGAGAACGCAGGCAGGAGAGCGTGCTGTTACAAGCTAGAGAGTGTGGACGGAGAGGGGAGTGGTCTCCCCAGTACAACCATGTTGCTTTGCACCATAAATGGTGCCCCCTGACATTGTGTAAGGCAGTTAGCCCCACCTTCTGCTCCAGGTTATAGGGAAGAGCTAGGGAATGACTCAGGCAGACTGGTTAGCCCACTGAGCCCCAAAGCAGACATTTCACCCGCCCTGGGAGCCCCCCTCCCTACCGCCATAGCCTGGATCTGACTTAGGGCTGAACGGGTGTCAAGTGGCCATGACCCTTTACACCTTGGAACCACAGGCCTGAGCCACAGCGCTCCTGCCCTCAGGGGCCCTGTCTTTCTCAGGCCTCAGCTCCATATGCTGAGGAGAGCGGTGGGGAGAGTGGCCTGAATTGGGCCAGGGCTCTGGCAGGTGGAACCGGAGGCCCAGCAGGTGTGCAAGCAGGTGGGAGGAGCCGCCCTTCCTTGGGCCACGCTCTGGGAGCAGAGGACTTCACAGAAGGGGATTCGGGGCCCAGCCCTCGGAGACCCCCACTTCAGGGAGACAGAGTATCCTTGCCTCCCCAAGCCTGACTGCGGCCTCCACAGAAAATGGACAGAGCCCTGGGCCTGCTAGAAGCCTAGGCTGCAGCCTTTGCCTCTGCCCACTCGGAGGTTCTGTTTATTTATTTGTATTTAGACGGGGAGGAAAGAGGCCCCAAGCTACTGACTAAACCCACTCTGCCCACCCACTTAGCCTTTCTCTGCCAGACTCCCTCCCTGGGAGGGGGAAGTTCCAGACCAGCCAAAGGGCTCATCCTTTGAGTTAATTGCTTATTAAAACACTTTAATGAGCCTCTCAGCCCAAACTCTTGCCTGCTCTGGGCCAAGACAAAGGGTTTCACGTCTTTGCTCTTATTGGTGGACACTGGAAGCCCAGAGATCCGGGTCTGGAAACTTCCCTTGAGTGGGCAGCCTCTGGGATGGACAATAAAGGAAATCTCAGGTGGGGGATGGTGGGCGGTGGGGACAAGGCATGGGATCAGCTGTCCAGAGTTCTGCCCCCAAGCTTATAGGAAGTGGGTAGGTGAACATATCAAGACAGGTGGTGAGAGGACTGCAGACATCTAGTCCATCTTCAAGAGGCTCATGGAGACAATGGCCAGGATGGAGCAAGACTGGAAGGCGATTTCTTCCCTTCTCTGCTTTCCAGACAGACCCCTCCTACCTTTCTGGTCCCCACCCAACTGTCCCTTCAACGCTGACACTTCCTAGCAGGGCCTGAAGAGTGATTGTGTGAATGAGGCAGGGTGGGGGGGATGCTGGGTTTCCAAATGGTGCACTCTTCCCGCCCCCCTTCACACACACACACACACACACACACACACATACACACACATACACAATCTTGACATTTCAAAAAGTTCACCACAGTTGTCATTATATGAATAATTAGAACTCACATGGCCCCTTTTATGCTCATTTTATGGATTAGGATAATTTTATTTTATTTTATTTTTTTTAAATTTTTTATTTATTTATTTATGATAGTCACAGAGAGAGAGAGGAGAGAGAGAGAGGTGCAGAAACACAGGCAGAGGGAGAAGGCAGGCTCCATGCACCGGGAGCCCGACGTGGGATTCGATCCCGGGTCTCCAGGATCGTGCCCTGAGCCAAAGGCAGGCGCCAAACCACTGCGCCACCCAGGGATCCCTGGATTAGGATAATTTTAATTCACATTACCCATGGTGGTGGTAAATCATAATCTTGTCAGTTCTTAGGGCCTCTAATGGTTTCATTCAGGCCCTGGTGGGGCTGTGGTGACCCCCTCAGTGGTGATAGGCTCTTGATGGTATGACTCTTATTTTTATTTTTTGAGGATTTTATTTAAGAGAGAGACAGAATGAGTGGTGGGAGGGGCAGAGGGAGAAGGAGAGTCCTGTCTGAGCAGAGACCCCGATGTGGGGCTTGATCCCAGGACCCTGGGATCATGACCTGAGCCCAATGCAGACCCCCAACCGATGGAGCCACCGAGGCGCCCCTGACCGTGTGACTTTTAAATCAAAGCCCACAGGGGCACCTGGGTGGCTCTGTCAATTAAGCACTGCCTTCGGCTCAGGTCATGATCTTAGGATCCTGGGATTGAGCCCCACATAGGGCTCCCTGCTTAGTGGGGAGTCTGCTTCTCCCTCTCCCTCTGCCCCTCCTCCTACTCATTCTCTCTCTCTCAAATAAATAAATAAAATCTTAAAAAAAAATCAAAGCCTGCCTCATCTCATCTCTGCTTCATCCCCTTCATTTGCCACCAGAGTTTGTGGCTCAGAGGTTGCATTAAATGTCAGAGAGGGTGAGAGGACCTTTAAGTACCTTTAGTAATGTCAGAGAGGGGTCCTGAAGTGTCAGGAAGAGTGGTGGAGAAAGGGCTTGTATTTCAACCTTCTCCTCCCCCAGTCCCCAAGGTCTTTCAGAGGGACTGACCCTCCCTGGGTTTATGGGGATGGGGATGCTGATGAGGCTGGGGGTACAGGGGAACAGGAGGTAGGAAAGGAGAGAGGGACAGGGCTGCAGGGTTATCGCAGCTCCATCCACAAAGTGGGGAGCCAGAGAACATTATTTCTCATTATTTGAGTGGAGATCTGTCAAAGCGAGGGAAAGTATCTTATATCCTGAGAATATGTCTGAGGGTTGATTCTAGAGTGAGAAACATTGGCTTTACAAATGAAAATCTTACACTATGAAAATACCTTCTAATAAATAATTATCTCAAAATTATCTGCAAAGGATTTTTGTTTAAAGATCATTGAAGTGAAAATAGAAAATTAAAAAGAAATCCTCCAATTCCCAACCCCTGAGATTAAAACCTGGGATCCTAATTTGAGAATCCTGTCCACACAGGTCTAGAGGGAGTGTTGGGGTACACCCCACATTCTTCAGACTCTTCAGCCTTTAACCCTTGGACACTGTTTGCATACCCCAAATTCTTAACCCAGAGCTCGTCGGTAGAGTACAACGTGAGCTACATATGTAATTTCAAATGTTCTAATAGCCACATTTTAAAAAATATTTTATTTATTTATTCATGAGAGACACAGAGAGACAGAGAGACAGAGACACAGGCAGAGGGAGAAGCAGGCTCCATGCAGAGAGCCTCGATCCCAGGTCTCCAGGATCAGGCTCTGGGCTGAAGGCAGCGCTAAACCACTGAGCCACCTGGGCTGCCCTTAAGCTAAAAAATTAATTCATCAGCATCCCCATCCCCACTAGGGGGGGTGGGGGAAAATTAATTCTAATATGTATTTTAGTTAAATCAATGAATTAAAGTTATCACTTCAATATGTAATCAATATGCAAAATTATTAATGAGGTGTTTTTTTTTTAAACTAAACTTTGGAATCTGTGTTCTAAACTGTTCCAACTCATCTCAATTCAAACCAGCCACCTTGCAGGTGTTCAGGAGCTGCATATGGCTAGTGGCTTAACCCTTACCTAGTTTCCTTGTGGTTTGCACCTCCCCAGGAGGAAGTCTGGGGTGCTTGTGAGATAGGAGGCAAACAGGGTGTGTGTGTGTGTGTGTGTGTGTGTGTGTGTGTGTGTGTGGTGTGGGAGCAAAGGATTGGGGACCAGCCTCTGATGCAGGTGGAGATGAGCCTGTGGCCCAGAACAAGGAACAACTCATCTCTTGGTGTCCTATCCCCTCTGTCTGGCAGGTCCCTCTCCCTCTGAGGCAGCGGAGGAGTGAGGGGTCAGCTACAGCCCACGGTTCCAGCTGGACCAGCCCAGAAAGTCTTGCAATGAGATACTTTTCTGTGGCAGAAAACATGTCCCCGATTCCCCACTCTCCAGAAGCCATTCTCAAAAGCAGGGACGATGCCAGGCAAACGGTGTTTTGTCCTCCAATGGGTCCCCTTCTTGCCACATTGACAGTTCTTGGACAAACTTCAGGCAGATTATCCGTGTGACCCAAGTCCCCAAATACCCAGAATTGGAGCTTTTGGCCTTTACAAGCTAGATGGGGCTGAGGAAATTTTGCTTTAGACCTAGGCTGTCCAGAGAATGGCTTCAACTGTGCCTATCAGTTCAGTGGTCCAGTTCTCGTCCAGGGGGTAGGGAAGGCAGTGATTTGGGATAGAAAGTGCTCGGCTCTGGCGTTGTTGGGAGCAGGTAGGAAGCTGGCAGCTACTGGTAAGAGACACACACAGCCTAGACGATTGGGAAGAAAAATGTTCCCACTGCACTAGGCTGTCTCATGGGATGGAAACAGGCACAGCAATCAAGTCGGGAAGGAGGGAGCCCTGGCCCCACGGTCCCGTCCAGCTTCGTAGACACAGTGCCAGCTTGGCCTCATCTTAACTGCCCTGCCACCCCTATGGGACAGCTACTTCCTCAGCCTGTACCAACCCCTCGCCCTCAACAGCGCAGGGAGGCTTCCAGGTGGATTTCCTTCCCAACCACACTGGCCCCGCCTCACAGACCTCTGGCTCACCCAACCCTGCATCTCCAGCTTTCCTCCCTCCCCCACTGTCTACCACTCCAACATCATCAAATTTTCACAGGAAGGGGGGCTGGTCCCTGGAGTCCCCTGTTCTCTTATCCTAGAGTCTGAAATCTGGCCAAGGAGAAGGGGCACACTGAGTCCATTCCAGAACTCTCTCCCAAGCTAGGGTCCTATTTTAGGGAAGAGAAGCAAGCAGAGTTACCACTAATGAGGCTGGAAGCCAAGGGAGCGAGTGGCTGGCGTCTACAGAGAGGCCCTGTGGCCTTTGGGCAGCCACAGGAACTCACCAGATCCCAGCCCCACATCAGAGATGACCCTGCAGGGGTCATGTGGCCACCACTCTGTGGGACATGGGGCCAAAACATGCCTGAACCAAATTGTTCTCTCATGTGCTAGAAGAGTCATACATGTCAGCACCCCCTACCCCATTGTAACACACTCAGGTACAAGGACCACATGTCTGGGCACTTGGGAATGTACGTTCTCCAGGGAG